GATTAATCTCCCTTGTGTAAAATACACACATAGGGTTCTCTATTTATAATAAAAGAAATATGGGCTAAGCCCAAAATACAAATGAGAAATAATAACAAACTAACTAAAAGATAAAAGATATAATATATCTAACACTCCCCCTCAAGCTGGAGCATACAAATTGTATGAACTAAGCTTGGAATAGATGAACTCAGTGTTGAACTAGATGATTTGTCTTCAAGAGTGTGAGGCAAACATAGATGGACTAACATCAGCTTGTGAAACTTCAACTTCAAAAGTGGATGAAGGAGAGCAGTGGTGGACAATGACAAACTGCAAGGACTGATTCCCAATCAATGATGGATGAGTGACGGGATCAACAGTAGTAGCTGAAAGCTAAGAGCTACAAAACTGCAGGGACTACACTAAATCCTCATCAAAGATGGGTGACGGGATCAACAGTAGTAGCTGAAATCTACAAAACTGCAGGGACTACACCCATATTTATGTGACTTGCAGTGTCTTGGAAACGTACTCCCCCTTAGTGTGAAGGGCGGAAATGTGAAATATCAAAACAAAATATTAAGCTACAATGCTGAGACAAAGGCATCAAAGATCCAAAGACATGTTGGAGGTCCAAAATTCTTTGCTGGACAACTCCCAATTGGTGATACTTAGCCGCGTATCACAAGAAGATCGGGCTAAACTCTAGCCCAAGAAGAACTGCCGAAGTTGCGTCTGTTTGAGACGGTAGCGACTGCAACGGCGGTTGACTGCTATAAAACTGCAAGGACTAAATTGCCATCACTGTCTGATGGGGCCTGTAGTGGTTGGAAGCGACAAAACTACAGGGACTGCCATCACTAACGAACGAGGTGATGGGGGCCTACAGTGGTTGGAAGCATACAGCAGCAAACGGCCGGACAGCGGCAAACGGCCGGACAGCGGCAAACGGCGCGGACATCAAAGGGACTTAGGGTTCCAAAAACGTGAGGGAGAAAACCCTAGGTATGAGCCCAAGCCAACAAAACGGAGAAACAGGAACCAAAACACACTCAAGAAGCTCCGGCGAGACAATCTGCAGTGACGCGGTGAAACTCCAACACCGGGAAGGCGGCGCGTGCAGAACACGCGGCCGAGACTGGCCGAGAAGAAGCGACGCGTGACAGCTGGTGCGGAGGCTTCAGAGGATGGGACCACTAGGGTTGGGTTGCGCTTCTCAAGGCGCACCTAACCCTTGACTTCGCCGGAGCAAGCGACGGCAGCGGCGGCGGCGGACTGGCCGGAAAGATGTGCTGCGTGGCGGCGTGTGACTGAGAAGTGGCTCTCGAAACCGGCATGGTTGGCTGTCGCTCGAAGAGACGGTCCAGATCCGCAAGTCACCCGTCGAAACTGTGACGGTGGTCGGCGGTGGCGATGGTCGATGGCAGAGGCGACTGGCTGCACTGATACTGACTATGGCACAGATTTCAGAAGAAGAGAAAGGGCTGTCCACTGAAATTTTAGGGGCTGCCGGCGGCCGGCCGCCGGCAGACAGAAGAGGTCACGAGAAGAGATCAGAGAACCTGCTCTAATACCATGTTGAATATAGTGAAAAACTATATTTGGATTAATCTCCCTTGTGTAAAATACACACATAGGTTCTCTATTTATAATAGAAGAAATATGGGCTAAGCCCAAAATACAAATGATAAATAATAACAAACTAACTAAAAGATAAAAGATATAATATATCTAACATCTCCAATTGTTTTCTTTGCACTTCTATTTTTTTCTTCAACTTTTATTATTATTATTTTTTCATATTAGGAGTGTCTAAATTTTGTTACAACCTGCTCCTTACCAAATAACAATGGCTTTTATAAATTGTTCATTTGATAATGCAGATTGTCAATCCTCTGTAAAAACTGTCCTGCTTGCTGTGTCATGCATGCATGCTGTGATGCCTTGGCTGTAAGAATGAGTGAGAAGTTGCTGCTGATGAATCAGAGATTAAGAGCCGATATTAGTTGTCAATCATTAAGTCTGCATAAATTTCTTCAACTGTCTTCAGTTGTATGTTGTAAATGTTGCTCCCGATGACATTCTCAACGCTAGTGAGCAAATAGTCTTTTGTCCATCTGCCCAACACCAGCCATGTAATAGTTAGATTAGCTTAATTATCCTCATGATCCCTGTAAATTGATGAACTTTTGATATTTTATATTGTGATGCATCAAAAGAATATATAATTCAATGTACTGGACTGATTTATATTTAATCTGAATTTATTCTAGTCCTTGTACATAACTAAGAATGTGATACTCACCTGTCTGTACAGAGAACCAAACATGTTACTCCATGAACTTGCTTACTGCCAAACCATCCTTCGAGTCAAACATGGTTTGTTTTTCAATGATTCAAAATTCACTGACAACCTTTTGTAGGGAAAATTTTCGTACTGTTGTTTTTGACTTGTGGAAATTCTTATTATAAGAAATGGAAATTACAAATATAGATTAATAACTCTTTAACATGGCCATTTAGCAACTATTTTCTAATTTTAGTTATTTATTTGTGGTTCAATAGTTTGAGTTCTACTTAAATGACACAGGTGATTGATTCTTGGTTATATTATTCCTCAAAATATATATTATTGTTTTAATCAATTTGAAATGACCATCTATTTTAATATATGGTAGGGTTCTTGTATTGTTATCTTTCACTTGATGTGAATCTTTTCTCGATGCCTAGAGCATAAATCGCTTTTGAATATACAATGGAAAGAACAATACTGATTACATACTTCCCAGAAAGTACATTATGTTAGTTAAAGATATATAAATTTCTCTCCTTTCCCATTTCATGCTTCATTTTTAATATTGCCTCTCCACCCTTAGCGTCCACAAACATCTTTGACATTCGCCTTCATGTAAAAACCATTTCCTGCTTCAGAAGGTAATTTTTCATTGCAACACATGTTCAACCATGTAGAGGGTAACAATGGAAAAACTGTAAATTACCAAAGAAAAGAGTAAGTATGTAAATAATCAAAATTTTACTATTCATAAACCGAAATGATATCACTAAACAATATGTTAAATATCTCAGTTTCTTAAAGCATTAGCTAAAAGATATGATAATTTCGCATAAAGATGTCTTGTGCATTTAATCTAGTTTCATTCAATTAAAAATCGATAAGAGTTTTATAAATAAAACATAGTCAATTATGTACTTATTATAATGAAATCTCAAGGAACTTGAATATTAGAATACATGTTTCGAGTGAAAGTAGATAGAAAGCATGTGAACGAATCTGTATCTTATATAGATATTTTGGTTCTTCACACTACTTTTTTCCTCTCCTTTTAAACCAAACATATATTTTTTAAATTTCTCTTCATTTTCTGGTTTTTTTTAGTTCTATTTTCTTCAACTAAATATTTTCTTCATTTTATTTCCTTTTCATTGTTCCTTTTCTTTTCAATTCAACTCTCTCTCCTAAACTAAAAGTTGTATTTTGCATGATCTCTATCTTGTGCGGGGAGTTGCTATAAATTTATCTCTTAAAATGTATTGTATTTAACATCAGTGTTATAATTTGGTGAAAAAGATTCATAAGTTTCATCGATTTTAAGTTGTTCCTATGTAAATTAATTCAGGAATCACAGACAAAATATGAATAATTACTCGTAATGGTATTAAGAAAGGAATATAAGAGACAAAATTCTCAGTCAGAAAAGAAAATATTACAACCATCCCCCTTTCTTTCTCCTCTAACTACCTTCATATTCTAATGTCTGGACCACTCAAATTCAGCCAGCTTACAATTGGTTATTTTAGGCATATCGCTGCACCTTTTTGTTTAATTGCTTGTCACGTGTCCCTTTTCTTTGGTCCCATTATTCTCTTGAATCAACCTCTTTGCAGCTACATTTGTTACATTACTTCTCCTTTAAAAGAAACCTTGTCATCAAGGTTGAATTTTGGAAAAACCTGCATTATGGCAGTGACATCCTCCCAAGTTGCTTGACTATCTTCCAAACCTTCCCACTTGATTAAATGTTATTGCACTTGCTAATTCCTGAACTCTTGTTTGTAATATGGCTTCTGGCTGTAACACCGATCCAGTATCTGAATTTGTAATGGGAAATGGTACATATGGCTGAGCATGATCACCCTTACACAATTTGAGCTGTGAACGATGAAAGACTTGGTGAATTTTTGCAGACGAAGGCAAGAGAAGTTTATAAGCTACTTCCCCAGTCAACTCAATTATAGGAAAAGGTCCAAAATAGCGAAGACTGAGTTTCTGCTTTTTCCTTAACAATATGAAATGTTGTCCATGGGGCTGAAGTTATACGAGTACCATATCACCAATCTCTAACTGCATCAGCTTTCTTTTTTAATCTGCCTCTTCATGTGCTGTTGTGCCTTTTGTAAATTTAACTCCAGTCTGTTGGTTGTTGCATCCCTTTGGATGAATTGTTTCTGCAGACTCAAGAGGTCTTGGCTGCTGCTAGTATAAAATCCATGTCATTTGGAAATTAATATAAAATTACATAAATTGATAAAAGAATCTGAAGAACTATCATTGTCGGTGACTTTCAATATGTTCAAAGAGTTTACATTCACTAACGATTCTCTCGTGGCCAAAAATATCTCTNTATCATTGACTAACTTCACATCAATATCCATATTTTCACTTCTCTTAAAATGCTTAGTATTGCATCTTTTCATTCGTTAATAGGTAAACAATTCGCACGAGTCCAGTTTTGCAATTCTGAAGAAAAAATCACCATTGAAATTTTACATACCTCAGTATTTGGGATTTAGTTACTATTGAACTCTGTTATGGTTCGTGGCATTTTCTGTCTCTGTTGATTCTACTTCAGGACTGGAACTTATTACAACATATCTGCTGCAATAGTTTAGCATAAGATCAAAGCAATATAAGGTTGTTTGAGAATAGGTTAGGATTAAGCCAAAAAAAGAATTAAAGTGAATACCTTTAGGCCTCTCCAGGTGGAGAAGTTGAAGTGGGGACTGAAAATGGATGCAAACGCAACACAGCTTCTTCCGTCTCAACTGGGTCTGATCTGAGTATCTGAAACAGAAGAAGAAAGGTTAATTATGAAGAAATAATGAAAGTGTAAGCACAAAGAAATCAAAGAAAGATTAGTCTTGAAACACAGCTTGGTGTCATCCGCTTGTAGAGTGCTGCTGTCGAGAAAGAATTTTTTTCATTTGGGGCACGGGAGTTAACCCAACCCTACTCCTATCCCAATTCACTCCATGGGAGCTTTGGGAGCAGGAGCTTTTGAAAAGCTTCCTAATATGTGGGTCGAAAAAAATGGAACCTAACCCTAAAAATCTTTTGGAGCTTTGGGAGCAGGAACTTAATTTTTGGAGTATATTTTTCTTCATATAGCTTGGCCGATTGAGCTTCAGATCCGTCAAAGCGATGAAAATCCAGCTTCACATTTCTCACCTGAAATGGTGGGTGGTTCGAATTGTCGCCAGCGGAGATAGATGCTTGGCCATTTCGATGGAGGTTTCTTCCAGCCTCCCAGTTCTGCTTTAGCAACGCATCCACCGTATTTTCCGATATCGAAGTGTGTTCTAGTTGCTTCTCTATCCTCTTTCACCATCTCCCATAAGCCATGTTTTCTCTGCCATGTTCGCCGCACTAGAGCACCAATGTAACAGTAATAGTATTCAGGAAACACAAAATATGAACGACAGAATGTTTTCTTAGTTCACTTTCCTTGAATTTCTTTTCTAAGGATTTTTAATTCACTCAGGAAACTTTTTTATTTAAAAACAAATTAATATAACATCTCAAATTGATCGTAAACATAGTATATTTAGATTTTCTTTTCAATAAATTCTTTTATTTTNTTTTATGAGATTACAAACATGATGTCTGATTCATCTTATCCCACTTCAAACTTGTATTTTATGCAAATTTGGAAAATTCAACTTATCATTCAAGAGAATTTGTTGAATGAAGATGTCACCTTAAAGGATATGACTTCTAAAATGAAAGAGAAGTTTCAAAAGTATTGGGAGGAGTAGAGTATTGGTTAGCTTTTGAAGCTATTCTTGACTCACGACTAAAGGTTGGTTTTATAGCATATTTTTATAAGAAATGAGATCATCTAACCTATGCAAAGAAAGAAAAAAAAGAAAAAGTGTTAGAGAGGTTCAAGTGGTTGTTTAAAGAATATGTAAAGAACTTGTATATCTTAGTGTTTCTCTTTCCCAATCACCTACTAAATCCATATGTCTCAATCCAACTGAAGGGAAAAAGTTGAAGAGAGGATTATTTCAGTAAACATTTTATACCTAATGTTCATTGTTTCATTTTTTTCTCATTTTCATAATTAATATGTAATGCATTGTAGGATCTTAAAATGTATCTGAATAAATCAAAATCTATCATTTGCAAGAACAAGATAGATGGTTATTTATGTAACCATAGATGATGATGTAGACAGTGAAGATTTTGATGTGCCCAAATATTGGAAGACTGATGAGAATAGATTTGCTATATTGTCTATAATGGCTTGTGATGTGTTTAGTATTCCCTTTATTACAGTGGCATCAAAGTCAGTTTTTAGAAAAGGTGGGTGTGTACTTTCGAAATATAGAAGCTCCCTTCTTCCTAAACGTGTGCAAATGTTGCTTTGTACTCAAAATTGACTATATGAATTTTTTGAAAATTCTGGCGGTACGTTTATATGTTATTATATTTAAAATTACTTTACACTAAATGATTAACTATAGACTAGTTGTTTGATTGTATTCAATTGGTTATGATAGATGAAGTTGTTGAAAATATTTTTGGCCAAGAGGGAATCATTGGTGAGTCTAACATTTTTGAAGATGTTGAAAGTCTCCAACAATGATACTTCTTCAGGTTGTGTTATACAATTTATGCAATTTTATATTAATTTCCAAGTGACGTGGATTTTATGAATCGATTATCTTGAGAATTAAGATAGGAGATGGCATATAATATTGGGTTATGGGAATATTAATGCTAATTCATACATTCATAGTAGTAATGTTATCTGGACTGATTAAAAAATAATAATTCTAAGTTTTTGAATTCTCAGCATTTGATCACAAACATTTGAATTGGTGGTGAGGGACAAGTTCCTAATGGTAAATTTTCAGATTGAGAAATACTGACGTGGGTACAAGCTTGTGTTCTGCGTCAATAATTGCATACAAAGTTGTTTGGATATTGGGAAATTTGATGCAGAGAAGGGTGAGGATGCAAGATGCTTGACTACGAGTGCGCGGCAGCCCTTCAATATTGTGTTCGGAGAGGCTTTTGAAGATAATAAGGTTATTAAGTCAGTAGTTTGAATCAAATATCTCAACATGTTGAGTTAATGCAATCATTCTCTCTTTCTCTTGTGATTTGCATCACCTGAGTGAATAAAAGAGATATTAATGACTATGCTTTCTTCTGTTAGTTCTTTTTCTCTTTCGTTTCTTACAAACTTTTCGAAAGAAAAATATTAGGTTTAAAATTCTATCTCTACAATACATTGATACCACAATTCACGAGTGCAACAAAATGAAATACAGTGTAGAAAAAAACAATTGCCATATGTTTATCTGTAGAAGTGTTTCTACTATGCAGTTCAAGTTGGGTTTATTGTTGTAGAAGTGACTATTTTTTGTTTCTCCTTTTCTTTTATTATATTTTTCTCATGCTAAAATGGAAGACTCATGGACTGATCCCGACCTATAGAACTTTGGCAATATTTGGCCATGTAGGCTTTGTTAATGAGAGATTTTTTTTTTTGCATTTTGTGAGCTTTTTTTATTCCAACCTACATGGACTAAGGTTAGGATCAAATCCTATTAAATGGACTGCTTTAACAGGTCTATTAATTACCATATCATTGACTAACTTCACATCAATATCCATATTTTCACTTCTCTTAAAATGCTTAGTATTGCCTCTTTTCATTCGTTAATAGGTAAACAATTCGCACGAGTCCAGTTTTGCAATTCTGAAGAAAAAATCACCATTGAAATTTTACATACCTCAGTGTTTGGGATTTAGTTAGTATTGAACTCTGTTATGCTTCGTGGCATTTTCTGTCTCTGTTGATTCTACTTCAGGACTGAAACTTATTACAACATATCTGCTGCAATAGTTTAGCATAAGATCAAAGCAATATAAGGTTGTTTGAGAATAGGTTAGGATTAAGCCAAAAAAAGAAATAAAGTGAATACCTTTAGGCCTCTCCAGGTGGAGAAGTTGAAGTGGGGACTGAAAATGGATGCAAACGCAACACAGCTTCTTCCGTCTCAACTGGGTCGGATCTGAGTATCTGAAACAGAAGAAGAAAGGTTAATTATGAAGAAATAATGAAAGTGTAAGCACAAAGAAATCAAAGAAAGATTAGTCTTGAAACACAGCTTGGTGTCATCCGCTTGTAGAGTGCTGCTGTCGAGAAAGAATTTTTTTCATTTGGGGCACGGGAGTTAACCCAACCCTACTCCTATCCCAATCCACTCCATGGGAGCTTTGGGAGCAGGAGCTTTTGAAAAGCTTCCTAATATGTGGGTCAAAAAAAAATGGAACCTAACCCTAAAAATCTTTTGGAGCTTTGGGAGCAGGAACTTAATTTTTGGAGTATATTTTTCTTCATATAGCTTGGCCGATTGAGCTTCAGATCCGTCAAAGCGATGAAAATCCAGCTTCACATTTCTCACCTGAAATGATGGGTGGTTCGTATTGTCGCCAGCGGAGATAGATGCTTGGCCATTTCGATGGAGGTTTCTTCCAGCCTCCCAGTTCTGCTTTAGCAACGCATCCACCGTATTTTCCGATATCGAAGTGTGTTCTAGTTGCTTCTCTATCCTCTTTCACCATCTCCCATAAGCCATGTTTTCTCTGCCATGTTCGCCGCACTAGAGCACCAATGTAACAGTAATAGTATTCAGGAAACACAAAATATGAACGACAGAATGTTTTCTTAGTTCACTTTCCTTGAATTTCTTTTCTAAGGATTTTTAATTCACTCAGGAAACTTTTTTATTTAAAAACAAATTAATATAACATCTCAAATTGATCGCAAACATAGTATATTTAGATTTTCTTTTCAATAAATTCTTTTATTTTATTTATGTCACCTAAACCTTATTTAAATTACTGCTTCACTGTTCAAAGTATTATCTTAAGTAATTAAAAAAAATTATTGAAAAAGAGTTAATTTTTATATGAGGAAAAAAAATCGACAATTTAATAGGGTAAAAAAAAAATGTAAACTTGATAGAAAAATATATTTTTTATTAAAACCACGGAGTGAATGAGAGTGTAAGGAAACAAAAGAGTGTAAGGTAGGGAAAAGGGGTAGCCATTCCCAACCCGCATAGCAGAGTCAGTCGGGGTGATCTGATTTGAAGCCTTTGAATTGAAACTGAAATTGAATGAATGGTAGAATTGAAGTGAAGAATCTTTCTGCATTTTGGAAGTGAATAAGAAGAAGAAGAAGAAGAGATGAGTCAGGGTCAAGGTCAGGGCCAGGGAGGAGGATCGCATTCCCTCGCGTTTCGTGTGATGCGTCTCTGCCGCCCTTCCTTCAACGTCGACCCTCCCCTCCGCCTCGACCTCACCGACATCTTCGTCGGCGAGGACCTTTTCGACGATCCTTCTGCCGCCCCCGCCCCCTCTCTTTACGCCGGCGCCAACGACAACTCCGATCCCAACTACCGCGACCGCTTCCTCCTCCACCACTTCTCCGACGCCATGGGCCTCTCTGGCCTCCTCGTTCTGCCTCAGTCATTCGGGTACTCTCTCTCCCTCTCTCGTTCTCTCTCTCTCTATTTCTTCAATTCAACTCGATCCATTCATTATTACTTACTCATACTCCCCATTTGTAGAGCTATTTATTTGGGAGAGACTTTCTGCAGCTATATAAGTATTAACAACAGCTCCAATTTTGAAGTCAGAGAAGTCATTATCAAGGTCCTCTTTCTAAATCTTCAATTCTTCTACTCCACTGTCATTCATGAATCAATTTTGTCACTCCCTGAGCTTACTGGAACTCCCTTGACACAAGTTTTAATGTTGGTTATATTGCAATATGTTACCTACCGTAGGAGGTTAATTAAAGCATTCTAAGGAATGTGGAAAGGAGATGGAATGTTCGTGTGATGCTTGAGAATCTCTCCATGTGTTGTTTAGCTCTTTCTCTAGTTCCAAGCTCCAGTTACTCTGTTTGATTAGCTGATATTATATAAATGAACTCTCTAACGATAACAGCTAAAAAATAGTCCTTCGTAGATATCACTATGGGAAGACTTTGTAATACATGTCTTCTTTTACTTTCTCATTCTGGAATGATCTTTCACTTGTACATTCTCTACTGATGATACCCTCCCACGGAATGCTTTAGCACAAGGCTGAAGGATATTGAGTGGGGTATTCGTTAGTTTAAAAAGCAGTAACCTTTTAGAGAGTGAAGGAAGGGGAGGAGGGTGCCGGGGGATGTATTAAAATTCTTTCTCCCTCTGATTCTGTTTTCTCTGCTCTTTTGTTGGATATCCTTCCTGCACTTGTAGACAGTGCAGGAATTAAATAAAATTCCTGAGCTCTCATAATTTCCATTCCTAGCTAGAAATATTTTCTCTGCTTCGTCACTATTCCATTGATATACCAATCATTCCAAGCTGATAGGCATTTATATGCATATGAGAGATTGATTTGCTG